TTTTAAGGTGTCTGTCATTTTCACCAGAGTTGACAAATATTCTTATAAAGTACAGAGTGTAGATAAAGTCCAGTGTGGGGACAGTCTTTCAGTGTTACTGGGTAACCCGAGTCAGAGCTTACAAAATAAAACCAGACCTGAGAGACAAAGGACCCCGAAGTCTCAGCTGAATATTTTCACTGGTATAATGTCAGTAGTTTGTCAGTGTCTGATAACACCATACTTGCTTAATGAAGTGAAGGCATTACTTAGCTCTTTTTAATTATAATCATAATGTTTTGCATTCACGTTGACTTCTGAGATGTGGATGCCTATTGAACTATGAAACAGTCTTGCTGATGTTTAACGCCAGTCTGTTTATCTTTTATGACTGCGGTTTGCCAGCTACCTTGTGATGCTATCCAGCCTCATTATTCTTGCTAATGAGAATAAAGACTCTGTTGTCAGATTTAAAGTTATCAATGTGCACTGCAGTGCAATCAAGAGTAAACATAGATTAAGCTCTAGCTCCAGACTCAAACTGCATCATTTTAAGGACACTATAATGGATTTAGTTCTACATGGATACACTACATAGGTCAACCTTGTATAGTTGCCAGTTTTTCAGACTGTGGTGATCACTGGTGGTTGTGATGTGACATGAATGAATAGTGTAGTCCAAATAACCAAAATTCTAAATGGCCTTGTTTGCTCAAGTGCACAAGTTGAATTTTTTCCATAGGAACCATTAAATGTTCACCATATCATCTCTTACTGTGCATAGAAATGTTAAAATACCCCTGGAGAGTCATTATTTATGTCTAAATAATGACTCTCATATGGTATTTTGTGACTGATTGCTTTCTTTGTTTGAAATATTTAGCGGCTTATTAATTTTCATTGACATGGGGTCTATATTAGTAAGACATATTTTGGCATTCCTTTACCCATCACCATAAACAGTGACTTCAGATGGATTCAACATAGTGAGGTCATTTCTGCTGTATAAGGCATAATGATATCTGCCAGTCAGCACAAGGTCATTGGTCAGACTTTGTCCTTGTAGCCCATTTGTCTACATTGTGTGAATGCATAGTGTAGTGTAGCTAACAGAGAAAATTGTAGGCATCATTATTCACTGAAGCCTGATACACAGCACACCTGCAATAGACAGAAATGTTAATGTATTCTTAGACAGAGGTCACATTCCTTGAGCACATGAGGCAGGGGTTAGTAGTACTTATTGAGACATACGGTAACAGAATCTAGGGGAATTCATCAAATACATAAGTTGTTTAGTGTTACAGCTCTGCTGCAGATGTACCCTGTCTTAATGAATCAGTATTGTACTCCTTTAGCGTAACCAATGTTTAAGTACATACAGACATCAGAGGATTAATCTTTTCCTCATCTGTAATAACTTTTTTTTAGTCAAATGGCCTGAGGGAATGGGGTATGAACAGTCTGACCTCAGTGACGTGACTGATTAGCATTCTTGTTTGTAGATGAAAATTAAGATGTCAAATCTTATTCTTACAGAGAAAATTCCCATTAATGGTGTTTTCGCCCTATGAGTTTGAAGTAGGTCGAGAGTTGATTTGTTGCATCTCTGATAAAATTAGAGAGGGGAGACAGGGTTCTGCTGTCATCTGCTTCAACAACAGAAACAGCTTAATCACAGCTAGCAGGACAGAGGGAATTTACTCAAATGGAGGTCGTAATTCTTC